AGCATGCTTGGTAATTTCTACCGTGGTTCTCCATCAGTATCAGATTGCAGTCCATCATTGCAATAAGCATCAGTATCAGATTGCAAGTCGCATGTTCTAGTTAGGGCTCTTCGCCTCGATGACAACGGTGCCTGCATGGTGGTGCCTGAATGGTTGCCGCCATCATCGCGAAAATGCCCGAGCATTGAGCTTGCGATGTTTCCTTACGGACAAACACCTTGCCCACACTCTGCTCCACTGCATTTCTGGCCATGCTTCTAATCGGGGCAACCCTCGCATCCTGGAGCTGTCCGTATGCTCGCGGTTTGCCGCCCCGACACCGAATATAATATTAACGTCTCTCTGCCTTCTTGTTCCTCGGCATATCAACTCCTTGTCCCTAGCTTTCGTCCGCCCTGCTCTCAAGTACACATGTGTGTGTACACACATACACGCGTGCGATCCATGTAAACCATTCTAAACCCGCCCCGGGCTATGAAGCTAATCAAGCAAGTTACACAAATACGCTGCAAAATTCACGTGCCATGCAGACATTGCCCTGCTTGCTGTCGGGATAATCGGTGTCTAGTTTTTTTCTCGAAGGGGCACAAGCTTGCAAATAGGCGACGGGTGCAGAGGAGAACGCGGCAGAAAGGTGAACCTTTGTGCGATCCTGCAAAGGTATCTCTTCCGGCACCTCGACGGCTCGGGTGGCATTGTCGTCGCCCCCGCACGCCTGGGCATTGGTGTCTTGGCCGGGACAATGCGATGCATAGGCGAACTCCACTTTCCAGACACCTCCCGATCACTGCCCGAAACCACCATCCGGATCCGATAGAATTTCTAAGGCTTTGCTTGCTTCAGCATCTTCTGCGTGTTCTCCACTTTCTCGACGCTCATGATACAGGCAGCTGGGTCTGTAAACATGCATGCTTCACCGATCCTCGCTGTGGAACTGTGGATGGTCTTAAAATTTTCCATGGCAGCCAGTACATGTTGTGCGCGCGCCGACCAGGTGCCAGAAACTTCGGATGCCGTGAGCGAAGAGGTTGCGCGCCCAATGGTCGCGCGCTGGTTCGGCACAGCGGCTTGGGCAGAGTGAATGCGAGTAATACTGAGTAAGACTTCCTTGCTCACCCAACCTTGATACCAGTTTCTCCATCTCCGGAAACCAGGTTTGGTAAACGTTGCCCGTCGACCAAGGAGAACATTCAGCTGGTGACTGCGGCGCTTGCCATCTTGTCCCACTCCTGGGGTGTTTTTGTTGCAACCAATCGACGAGAAACCCTTTGTCGGACCTCAGGTTTCTGATCCTTTTTGGAATGGGGCTCGCCATGCCAGTGATGATCCTCTATCTCGACTCGAACCTTTTGCTTCAGCCGCCCGCCGTTGAATAGCCAAGCATTGGAGACAAGAGCAGCTGTGGGTCTCAATTTCCCGTGGCCTTTCAGGCTAACCCTGCAGCTTGTGATACTTGCGAAGCTCTGACATTCGACTCAGGCCGAGAGGTCCCTTGGACCCATCAATGAAGCCCATCATCGACACGTTGCACATCGAGGATCTTGTCAACTCTGAGGCAGCTGAACAGCTGAGACCAGCCTCGATCAGCTGAGCAATGGGCGAGTTTCCAATGCAACCCTTCCGAAAGCTTCCGCGAATCACACAGAATGCATTCTGCTAGTTGGCTGTTGGTTTGTCTTCTTTGGCGGTGCAGTTTCACGAAGCTACAAAGCGACTCTGTCTATTATGTTGCGCAGGTGACGATTTTCTCGGCAACCTCAGCGCTTGCCGCGTACATCGCTTCAGGTGAACTGAACGACATTTTCGCCGCTCGGGCACCCACAAGTGCTTTTTCACGGTGAAGCTATCTATGTTAAGCCTCTTGAGAAGAGATTGCAATGTCGTGGTGTGTCTAGAGACACCCCGGTCGCAAGCCGATTTGGCCAATGCTGTACATGGATGCGCGAATTCGAGTCCTTTGAGCTGAGGCTGTGGTGATGCTGACTGTGTTCGTGATGGCCCTGCCCATCGCTAACATGTTTTGCTTGCTTGGCGGGGCCTGGCATCTGCGGTCAAAGGAGCCTGACACTGCGGCAGCCTGGCAGTTTCCTGGCTGTAGGGGATTGCCTGATCGCCTCTGCAGAACTGTTTTCAGATGCAGCTGTCGTGGTTTGAGAGGCCTTTTCGAGGCAGCCGTCTTTAATTGTTTTGCAGCAAAAGCAGGTTCCTTCGGCACTCGAAGTGGCTGAAGCACATTTCCATGCTCGATGTGTTCATTATGGGAATCATCGTTGTCACTGCTGCTGGGAGCGCCTACTCACAGCAAGGCCGAGACAGCAGTGTCATGCTTGCAGCTGGTCGAAAGACTCCTGATCGAGCAAAGCGATGCTTTCTAGTTCTGTTTTGCTGCCTTCTGAGTTCGCGGCCTGAAACTCAACTCGAGATTCTCCGGTCTAGGTCCCCACTGTGTGATTAGCTCGTGGCCTTACCAGATTGCGGGATCAGACGCCAGCTTGTCACGCTTAGCCATTTGCATGGTGCCTGCGTAAGTTTCCGCCTTCAGTTCATTGTTCGTTCCTTTTTTGACAACCAATGCTGCCGCAGCATGCCGCAACTGTGATTCGTCTGATACAGAGACTTGCCAGATTTCTGAAGACTCATGGTATGGCAGTCTGGAGAGTTCCGTAATTCGAAAGATCTTTAACCTGGCGCCAATTTTTGGCAGGAGTCCTGTTTGGAGTCATGATTGGCCTGTGGATCCTGCTCCTGGCAGAGGCTACGCATTACTTCACACACTACCAGGCGAGCGATGGAGTCTTTCGGCAGTGCTACAAGTATAAGTAGTTGCCGACATGATCACATGCTTCACTCAATCAGCCGATCGTTGTGAGCATGTCCCACACCGTGACAACACTCACATGCAAGCCCTCGAAGCCGTTGCCTCGTCATGTCGTTGCCCTCGAACTTTTACAAACAAGCCGGAAGTAACTCAAGAAGCATAAACGTTTGGATCGGTCTATGGGCCGAGTCAGGGTGAAGTTGTGTTCAGTCTCTCCAAAAGCCGTGGCAACTGTTCGGCGATATCCTTAACCGCCAAAATTGTTGAAATCATGTGATCCGTGCGGAGCTTCACAGCCAGGCCGGCAAAAAGCCCAAAGCGAGTCAAGTATTAGTTGCTTCTGCACGCAAACAACTTGCACAGGAGACAGTGGCCTGTGAGGTGGATTTTTCAAGGGCGGGGGCTGGTTGCAAGCCATCGGAAGCTTCGATCAGGCTTAATCTGACCGACGTGGCATGACATGGGATGCATGGATGGCTTGCTGGTGGGATCAAAAAAGTGGACGAGATCGGCGCGACCGGAATAAACCCCAAAGAGCGTGGTGCCATGTGCATTCGCTGTGTACAGTACGCCGCCGGGCGGCCCCCCTGTTGTCAGGGATCTTCACCGTACTGTGGGCGACTGTCCCATGGAGCGAGCCGCTGCATGGGAAAGCACTGGTTTTGTTTTTCGGGTCAAGGTCTTTGAGGATGCCAGGATGCCTTTGGGTCTTCGTCCTGCACCGTGTCTCTGATCGATCTCCTCGTGGATTTCTCGGAACGACTACAGGGACTGAGCAGCCATCTGCCGATATCAGCTTTGAGACCGAAAGCACGCAGCGGGCCTCGTTTATTCTTCTTCTTCGACTTCATCCCCGGGTGCAAAAAGGGGCCCAAAACAGGGGCAAAAAAGACCACGCTCCCGCCTGACCGGGCTCAAGCTGCCCGGCTACGTGGATTGGATTTTTTCCGATCCCCCGTTGGACACATGTGGGATTTTAGCCGGAGCCTTTCCCGATGATGCACGGCTGTTGCTGGCGTCGCTCGGCCCGGGTTGTGGGAGATGTCTTGCTCCCACCCCATGCTTTCTCGGTCTTGTAAACCTCGTACGCAGGATTTCGACGTTGGCGCCCCCACGACATCATCCTCGTCGCCTTCTACTGGGCTCAGACGAAGACGACTGTGCCAGGCATGGGGCGTTATTCCAGGCATTCGACGGGATCCCCCCGCAACTCATCGGTCCGTGGCTTCAGGAAGTTCGGGCTTGGACCATGGCGCAACGACACTCAATGGTTGATGCCGTACCATCGGTGCGAGGGGAGAGTCTCCGCATTAGCAGAACAACATCCTGGAGCACATTCGAAGCTACATGGTGTCGCACGGGCTACACCGGGCATGTGTTTCTAAGTGGCATTCACCGGCCATTACTCGCTCCCCAGGCCACTATGTTGGCAATTTCGCATCCCTACAGATCGGAACAAGGGGTCACCTCGAAATGGCCGGACATGCTGCAGAGGAACTCGTTCGAAGGTCACCTGGCGGGGGTCCTGATAAAGAAAACCCAAAATGTTGCCCGATGATGAAGGAATGACCCCGAGAACCTGTCGAAGGTGCTTGGTGCAGTCAAGCAAAAGCAGTGAATGGCAAGCGACGCCTGTCCGTGTTTGTGACTGGCGCAAACACACCGCGATGCTCAGGCTAATTAACCTGTAACTTCAGTACTGTGGACGCCGACACGTCGAAGAAATTCCATACGCGTAGGTACAAGTTGCCAATCACGACGTCGTTGGCAGGCAGCAACGCCCTGAAACAATGCGCTGAAACAATGCGCTGGCAGCGGAGATCCCCTACAAATGCGCGTTGTGCTTTGTGGGAAAAACAGCTCCAGTGTAGAATCTTGCTGGAAGACTAAGATTGGCACCTCTTCCAGGTCTCACTCACCACGCTAGAATGCATGCGAGTCCAACGGTACCTCTGTATAATGATGCCGTCAAGAATTTCATCCTGCTGCTTCGTCTTCTTTCCCAAGTGCTACAGGGCAGCCACGCTTCGGCAGGGCGGATGTGTGCAACCCCTGCCATTAGTCAATGCCTCGCCTTGTTTGCAGATGGTTGAGGGAACGCACAGGAAGTATGCAGGGGGTGCAGCAGGGTCCAGAGGTTGCCACCAAGACAAGGACGACACTCTGGAATCTTTGTCATGCCGCCGCCTGATCGGCCATGCGTACATGCATAATTGGCTTCGCTGTACATTGTGCCGTATCTACAGTCGTACAGTATTCTCTTCCGCGTATGCAGATGCTATGTGGATCCCCGAGCTTGCAACAATGGTTTTAGTTGGTCAGGCTAGGAGGGTTGGTGATGCTGCCTTGTTCCGGTAAATCTCGGTGCTTTGGCATGGCGTGCGGAAACGGGGATTGCGTGCCCTATGGACGTGGCCCCATTCCTTGGGAGCTGTTGGTTAGTTTCTAGAGCTTAGACGCGACTACATAAACAAAACCCTTGAAACCACAGTTGCCAGACATATCCGAACACACCCTGCAATGCGGACTCGTCCAAGCTACGTGGGAGCGAAAACAATGTAACTGTGAGAGGGTACTTGGTGTGGACCCATCTGATGCAGCTTGTCCTGCCGCCGTCGGACGAGGGCGCACGGGGCCACTCCCGCAGCAAACGAGCACGAACGAACAGACTCGGCAGATGTAATTACAGTGTCAGATACATGCAGCAGTACAGGCTTTCACGTTTGCATAAAATGCACGGGGGCACAGGAGCCATGGATAGGTGGGGCGCCAAGGAAAACACGTATCCGGTGGCTGGAATCTGGACGCAGATTTCACGTGCTTGCGAGAGGTTACACGTGTGAAACTGCACGGTTAAATAATCTGACAAACATCCACGGCAATACGACGCAGCAATCCGGGCGGACATGCATCCTGCTTTCAGCACTGGGGCAGCAACTAGTATGCATGACTCTGCATGACGGTTATGTGTGCAAGCACGCATGTGCTTTGTGCATAGGTATGCATGTGTGAGAAGGTTCTTTTGGCTATGGGAGCCCGGAAGGCTGTGCAGTTTTTTGTTCTGTTCAGTGCAAGGCATGTACCTACATTCTCGTGTGTCAACAACGGTCTGGGCTCTGGACTGCAAGCTTTGGGGTGTAAAGCATGTCGAAACAAATCTTGAGGTGGTGGTCGTCTTCAACCATCGTAGCTAATACTCGCGATGCGGCACCGCCTGCTTACTTTTCTTTGCTTTCCTTTAGTTGTCCTGAACCAATGTCACTTGTGAGCCTTGTTCTCTGCCATGCGAGAGGGGAACAGTAGTCGCGATGTGTGATGCATTACGGAAGCCGACAAATGACAACACCCAACACATGATCTCCTTTCAAGTCATTGGTTGGTTCCTGCAATTGAAACGTTCCTCACTTGCAGAATCGAGATGGCAGAAAGGTTGATTTGCTAACAACATGCACATGATCATATGTTGTCTTCGGTTTGTTGCAGAAGTTGACATGTCCCTCACTTGCAGAGCCGATTGTGGAAATTGCAAGAGTTGATATGCTGGAGGCAACGTCGGCCGAATTTACATGAAACCCAGCATCAGAAACTGAGGAGAAAGCAAGCAGCCGGTTTGCAATGGCAGGATGTAGAGAGCAATTAGACAGCACAGACGAGGGTTGCGTGCGTCGGACGATTCGCAAGGACTCCAGTTGTTGCCTGCCCATTCACTTCAATGCATCGTTCGGGCTCAGTTCTGCCGGGATGGCTGTTTGCTGGTGTTTGTGCAGACGGAAAGGTGCATGATGTTTACAACTTTCTGGAGAAGAGTGCCACCAAGTAGTGAGAGCCACTCCCCCGTGTTGGAAGTGCATGGATGAGTTTAATTTAGTGAGACACGTTGCATGAGCAGTCCAGGTAGCTTTGCAGTAGAAAAGCGCCTGGGAACAAGATTACGCTTCTCGGAGCTGCGTGGAGATGAAAAAACCCGAGGGAGCAGGCTCTGCGCGGATGTCTGGCGGGTAGAACCACGTTAGTGGAACTGTGCCGTGCTTCGGCGAGCGCCGGAAGTGCTCAAAACATGTCACGCTAAGGAGAGATCGAAGTGCCGGCCAGCAAAGTTCCAGCCTTTACTGAGGGCCTAGACAAGGTGCGTCTCCGTACCATTCCACACCTGTCGAAGTTGCAAGACCCCAGCATAATGTCGACAGATGTCAACTGGTCCTTTGGATACATCCTTGACGAACATTTTCATGGTGTTGTTCTTCAAGTCCTGTGTGAGTCCTGGTGCGGTGCAGGTTCGTGCTTTTGAGCAGTCCTGGAGCAACAAAAGGGCTCCAGGTAGCACCCAGCTACTGGAAAGCAGTTGCTTGCCTTGGTTTGGCAGTCATGGCATTTTCCGTCGAACTGTGTCGAACATTCAGTGCACGCTTGCCAGGTTCACCATCGGCAAGCTTGCCGCAAGCGGCAGACAAGGAAACGACGCAGGCCGTAAAGCAGTGAAGCCTCATCTGGTCGTCACAACACGAGTGCGTGAATCATTCCTTAACCCCCTGGTTTTACAAACCTCTGATATGACTTAATTATCGTGTTTTAAGCAAGAAGTGCTCCACAGAGGAGCGGCAGAGGTGTTTTCTGTCGCCGCAATGGATTTCTGGAGACGGCCGTGAGTTAGAGTTAGGGAAGTATACTTTGCAGATGTATCACGTCGGTGAGTGTCTTCATGTCACTCTTTGACTGGTCCCAACCTCTAACATACTCCCGCACAGGTCTCGTGGGTAATCTGTTCATTGCTACGATGCCACAGAACTTGTAGAACGTTCCTGCGCCAACATCTGTATGCGTTTGCGTACCTACCGTATGGCAGCCTGTTCCGCAGCCTGTTAGGCAGGGGGCGAGGAGCGTTCCAGGAATTCACAGCGCAGAGTGGATTTGTGGCTTCGCTGCTACAAGTTTCAGCGATGAAGGTGTGATTAATGGTCTTGAACTGGTCTTGATCTAAAAACTGAAACTTGCAAGTGAACCGCTCCAATCCATTCTTGATAACAGTTGGGTGCGCTGTCTATGTCAAAGGACCTGTGACAGATTGACGCAAGGCAGCAAGACCGTGGCATAGAATGAACCCTAAATGCCAAGATCACATTTGTGTCCCTGTTCAGAAGACGCTGATAGCTCTGGCCTCTGGCTGATATTTTGTAAGGGGGTGGGGTCAGATGGCAAAATTGTCAGTCGTGATGCCAAGGAAAGCCTATGTGCAGAAAATGTACTTCGCGCTTTTGAGAGAAGGCCGCTGTAGCACAGCTTATCATCCAATTTGCTGGGAGCTTTGGGCAAAGGCTAAGACGGCTGAGGCTTTCTTTTCATGTCGCAAGATGCAAGTGCCCTTTCCTTGGGAGGCTTGATTGAGGCCGAACAATGTCAACCGATGTGTCTCAAAACCTCTGGTCTCATTTGTAAAGGTCAATAGCTATGTGTTGTGGAGAACTAGGCTGTCCTCGACATGTGTTGTCCTCGTGCAGCATCTACTCGCAAAATGTCAGTGAGCATGACAGGCTTGGAGCCCAACGAAGCAGCCGCGCTTGCAATTCGTCAGGCACGAGATTCTGTCTACAAGAGCTAGCGCTGGTCAGGCTGATGCTCGCTCATGCCGAGGCCGCCCAAGCGGACGTGCAGAGAGACCCGCAGACCGCCACCGCCGAGATCGCGCTGCCGGCCGCGCCACCGCCCCTGGCCGGCTCTCAGTGCCTGGCCTGGCCACATCCGTCAGTTTAGCAGATTCTCACGTCTGAGGGATAGGATTAGGATTGGAGCTGTGCATCGTGCTGACATCCCGACCTTGGAAGGATGCCTGTTCCTGCTGATGCTGTGCTGAGGAGATGCTCCTCAACGGCCCAGAAGCTGAAGCAAAGCCAGCAGAAGCCTGGAGAGCGTCAGGAGGAGGTCACAGTACCCAGGCTGCGGCACTGTGTAGCACATTGTGTCGCCCAGGCGTGTCTGCGTTTGCTGGGAGGTTTTCTAGCCCAAAGCAACAGTGAAACTGCGACGTAAATCGAGGTTTCCGCCTGATGCGAAGATCCGTGAATGAGATCAGCCTCTCTGTCAACCTCCCAATGCGTTTCGCATCGGAATGGGGACGGGTCGTCGGGGCCGATGCCTCCCGCATTCTTGGCACCTAAGAGCGGGTGAATTCGTGCGTGCTAGTGCCTCCTCGAATGTGAGGTTCGCACAAGCCATTTTTGATGGACCTGCATGAGATTGTTTGCCAATCCTTCGCACGGCAATGCTGCCGTGGCGACAAGTAGATCAAGGCGGCATACTATGCAAGACTGGTGAAGGCTGTACAGCCGTGGAAGTCTCCTACAGGGAGCCCTCCCACTGACTCGGCCAGCTACGCACGCTAGCAATTGGCTGGAATACCTCCAGTGGTTCCTAGTGCTCGAGACCAATTTTCTGGCTGCTTTGTAGCTCGCAGCAATTGGATGCGCGGTGTACTTGTGCACATCCCTGTGACGAGGCTGCACGATACCTCTGAGCTGTGGCTTGCCAAGTACATCAAGACCATCCAAATTCATGCTTCTGCCTTCTGTTTTGCTTGGCATGGTGTCTTCTTAAGGTTAAATGCGACTGCTGAGCCCGAAGCTTGCCCATCTCTCCCGCTTCCAAGCAGCGGCAGAAGACAGTGGTACTCTTGCTGCTGTTTTTTCCCGGGCAATGGCCGGCTTCTGCAACATCCGGCTCGACGGGAGCCGCTCTGACAAACACTGTTGGCACAGCACCACAACGGCTAGGAAAAGAAGGCCTTCTGGAGGATTCCTTGCCATGCGGTGCTAGCTGTGCTGGAACCATAGTAGAAAACATGGCCGTTGCGTGCTCAAGCATGCCGAAGATGTGACAAAGCCAGAGAGAGGGAGAGAGCAGGGGAGGGAGGGAGAGAGAGCGAGAGAGAGCGAGAGTGAGAAAGAGAGGGAGACAGAGAGAGAGAGAGAGAGAGAGAGGGAAAGATTTTGTCCGCATGGTTGCACAACAAACGGGGGAAAGTGGATCCCGGCTATGCTTCGTTTCAACTCTATGTATGCGCTATCTGGGATGCTATCCAAGAAATCCCCCGCTTCGTGCAATAAATTTGCGCATGTTTCTATGATGATGGGGAAAGACCAGAACCTTCCAACTTCTAATTGTAATACTAGTTTTGTTGACGTGCGGGAGAAGAAGAGAAAAGGCTCGGTCGATGATCCATCTCATTTCACTCCCCTCTAAAAGCCCGAGAAACGGGCGGGCCTGGTGCCCGGGGGGCTTAACTCGCCCCTTATGCCTGGGAGAGAGAGAGAGAGAGAGAAGCAGCAGCTCGGCTCACACGAGATGGCCCAGGCCGGGGATTATAACGATGGTTACTTCTAGGAGAGGTTCGGGGACTGGGGGGCCATTCAGTGCGACAGGGCTGAGCCTCTCACGTCTCACAACCAAGACTCGGACAGCGGCGTAGCGCGAGAGCGCAGGGTATTGGGGATCTTCCCCTACCCAAATGCCTAGCAAGCAAGCAAGCAAGAGAGAGAGAGAGAGAGAGAGAGACGGCGCAAGAAAGAAGGACAGAGACAGAGCGAGAGACAGAGAGAAGAGAGTGAGAGAGAGGAAGTGAAGGAAGTAAGACACCCGAGGACTGCGGGTGCCGCGCGCGGGGTTCAGGGCTGGACGCTCAATGGGCCCCCACATGGTAGAGAGAGAGTGAGGTCACCCCCCTGCACCATAGGCCTGGCGAAAGAAAGAGAGACAGGGAGAGAGACAGAGAGGCAAGGGGGGCAACCCTCTTGCCCATAGCCCTGCCGAAAGAAAGACAGAGAGGGAGGAGGAGGAGAATTGAGAAGAAAAGGAGGATCGACAGAGAGTGTGTGAGCAAAACATACGCACAAGCCATGAACGGGACGGCATGATGATGCCTTTGCGACTTCGTGGCATGCTACGAGCCTCTTTGCGTTGTCGTCCCTCCTTGGGGAGTGCTCCTGCCAAGCAACGAAGACCGCTGCACGCTCACCAGGTTGAGCGACGTCAGGTGTCGCTGGCATCTCCAGCTGACGGTGTGAAGATTCCACATGCGCGGCCACCCAAGGTCATCAGAAACGGCCCTGCTCCTCTTTCAAGTTTTGTTGTTGACCAATGGACTCCGCACGAGGGCATCGTCGTCGACCGCTTGCAGTCGGGAGCGCTTCTTGTTGACGTGGGCTGCGAGGTGCCTGGTATGCTGCCAGCCGTTGGATATTTTGCAAGCAATGCTGATGAGCTCGATCAACTTTCGCCTGGCGATAGGGTGACCTGCTATGCATGCTGCAAGTACCTGGTGTCTTGCATGAGTTTCATAAATTTGTCAAGCAGCAGCACGAAACTGTGCCTAATGTGTCTCTCTGCGTGTGTGTGTGTGTGTATTAACACACACACATATATATGTATGTATGTATGTATGTATGTATGTATGTATGTATGTATGTATGTATATATATATATACACATGCATATACACACATAACGATAAGGATTTGCCGCAGCAGTCGAAAGGCAACGTGCACGCAAACACATAGTGCCCGCATTCCCCGCGGCCGCGGCTCCAGACCAGACGGAGCTAGGCGAAACTGCAGGCGAAGTAGGCCTCAGCTTTCGAATCCCGATCTCGATGAAGTATATGACTAGCCTGAGTTTTGGCTCAATTGGACTTGCTATGCTCCCGTGCTTGAGGAGAGCAAGAAGCTCTTTCTGAGCCTGCATCGCCGAGAAGTCCCGAGAGAGAGGTGGAAGAAAGTCATTGCTGACGGGCAGAGGCCGTATGAAGGACCGGGTTTGGGGAACTTGAATTACTACGAGCATATCTGGACCGTTCACACGCTGTTGTAGTCACCAGAGCCACTACCACAGGCATCAGTGATTAGAAAGGAAGCGTGCAATCAAAATTCCAGAATAGCTTTGTAATAACCAGAGCTACTGCCACAGGCATCAGTGATTAGAGAGGAAGTGTCGCAATCAAAATTCGATGATCTTGCATTGCACTGCCTCTCTGGGAGGTTTGGGCAGCTACCCCGGTCTACCCTCATGAAGTCCAAAATGCACTTAAAGCAATTTGCACCCATCTCGCAGAAAGGCCGCGCTCATCCAGAATCAATGCCCTTTTAAGCGAATGCTGAGGTTCCCGGCAGTTCAACTAACGAAGATGCTTCGGATGTGCAGGTGTCGTGCAGCGACTTGCGCCCTTCGGTGTCTTCGTAGACCTGGGGACAGAGGTCCCAGGCAAGCACTGCGCAGTTGTGAAGAATTCCAGGTTAGGGCCGCTGGCCAAGACATACTCGTGACCAACAGGCCACACTCGTCCGACTGAGCAAGTGCTGGTTTTGCCGCGAATCCGGTGGCAGCCAGGCTTGCTTCCAAACGAGCAGCTGCCCAGCGAATTGCATTGCAAGGACAGGAACGGGTTTCGGGAGAGAGAGGTTGCAATGCATGTACTGGCCTTTGGACCAATTCATGACCGGCACTTCAAACATGACAGCCGTCTTCACTCCTGTCGCAGGTTGGTGATGCCATCACGGTGTATGTTGTCAGCAAGCGCCCAGATACAACAAAACTCGACCTGGCCACAAGCCCCAGATGCTTTGCTGTGAAGCATGTCCATGTAAGGTCAAGTAGCATAAGTAAGCCAGAGGGTCACTGCTTTACATCCAAGTCAGTCTCCGAATGTTGAGACCAAGGAAGTCATGCTTTGCGCCGATGGATAGAGGCGAGGCACTTCAGAGTTGTGGTTTCAGACCGTTCAAGGCGTCATTCGTCACTACCGTCTGATCAAGAAAGAAGGAAATCTATCTGTGTGGGGCCCCGAGGGGTCACATCTTCGGCTTGCACTGAAGGGAGATTTTCCAACAAGCGTCCCGTCCGATACTCGTGTATGTTGGCAGAAAAAAGCCTTGTCAGATCCCCGGAGACGGACGCACTCCGCACAAAGGCACGGAGCTTACCGGAAGACTGAGGAGGGCTGCAACTCGCTAGTTTTGGAAGAAACACATCGGCGCCCACAGCTGCAGCCCCGAAATTTGGCATGCCGGAATCTTGCTTTTGCTGACCGAGGCACGGTGCTCGGCTTTCTGGAGGGCCGCGGGGCCTTCATAGACATGGGCCGCCTACTCAATTTCCATCTGCAGTATCTGTAGGACGTTGAGGTGTTTTCCGGTAATATTTTCAGATCCACTCTGGCGAGTCCTGAGTGTCACTTGTGATGAAACGGATGTTGACCAAAGGGATGGGAAGCAAGTTGTTTCTTCGCAGATGTTCGGCAGGTGTACATGTTGCTTCAGTCTGAGGCTTCGAGCGACCTGCGCTGCTTCCGATGGCGGTGATCGAGGCCAATTTGGGTCCTGATCTGAATTGCTATGGTTTCGAAGGGTGCCGAACGGTCGCGAACATGAGGTCAAAGTGCATGCTCTTGAGGATGCGGAATGAAGCGAAGCCAATGTCAGCCCCAGTTGCCTGTGATGTTAGGCACAGGAAGAGCAGACGGACTTGAAGTGCGGAAGTGAGCTCACGGTTTACATCACGGACAAGCAGAGCAAATCCGGCAAGGTCACCCTGGCACTGGCACCATCGACCCTTCCGAAACGTAGCTGGGAAGACATCATTGCAGACGGCCAGACGCCCTACGATGGTGTCGTTCGACGCAAGTTCGACTATGGAGCATTGGTCGACATCGGCTATGACTCGCTCTGCTTCTTACCCAACCCGCAGGTGCCGAAGAACTCGGCTAGCAACAGCGTGAGCGTCGGCCGAGAGTTGACTGTGTATGCAGTTCAAAAGCGGATGAACACTGGAAGGGTGTCCCTCTCTCTTGAACGCAGGGCCAAGCCGCTGGAAGACCTCCAGGACGTCTGCTGCGACGGTCGCAGTCCCTACCGTGGCATAGTCCGCACCGTCAATGAGTTTGGACTTTTCGTGGACTTTGGTTGTTCTGTTGTTGGGATGTTGGACGAGGACTACGATGACCCAGCTCTGATAGAGAAGCAGTCGTGTCTGCAGGCCGGTGATGTCGTCACCGTATATCCAATCTGCAAGGATTTGGGGAATGGCAGGGTCTATTTGTCCTTGAAGAAGCGTGACGTGCCAATCCGCTCAGTCTGGGACCTCGCAGCAGACGGGCAAACCCCGTACCTTGCACGAGTAGTGTCGGTCCATGGGCGAGACTGCACGATGGACCTCGGGGCCGACACGCGGGGGCTGCTCACCCGAACAAATGCCCCGCTGGAAACCTACACGAAGCTGGAGGTAGGAGACATGGCCCATGTGTACATACATCACCGCAACTCCGCGACGGCTTCCTTGACGCTCTCCTTAGTACCGTCGCCAGTTCGCAAGGTGCCTTCGAGCAAGATTTTGGCAGACCTCCAGCTTGACGCTTCCAAGGTGTACACAGGAGAAGTGTATTGCATTCAGCATGGCTACGTCTTCCTGGACATCGGATCAGAGTTGGGGGCAATGATGCTGGATGCAGTTCCATCCGCTTGTCGGATTGGTGATCGCATCCGTGTGAGGATCTCTCATCATGACACGAGGCGTGGGAGGTTTCGTGTCGTCCCAATCACGACGGAAACTCAACATGCGCAGCGGGGCAGCAACAAGTGCAAGGAAGCCTGGGAAGACAGGGAGGATGCAGAATCAGTGGAAGAGGAAGCCGTGGAAAATCAGAAGAGCCATTCTGCAGGAGACCACTGGTGCAGCGAAGGGCAAGGTGTATATGTCTTCACGCTCTCCTCAAGGTTTTGCGTGGGAGTCACATAGTTTTTTTTGCTGTATCCGGCAGTCGTAGAGTCTAGCTTTCAGCACAGTCCGTGAAAGAAGCATGGCTTTATATCTACTTGCCTTATATTTATACATGCATATATGTACATATATGTACGTATATGTACGTATATGTACGTATATGTTTGTTTACAATGCACATTGCATATATCAGAGAGCTCATGCAAAATTACAGGTCTGGCCCCTTTTGTCCTACTTCTCTCTCCTTCGTCTAGATAGAAGACCGTCTATTTCCATGCTTCAAGTTCTGAAACACAGACAGAAAAGCAATTCTTTCTTCATCGGAGACTGAGTGCCTCGAGAGAACCACCGAACAGGGAAGAGAGAATCGAAAGAGGACAGTAACCCGGAAACCTCGGCGGCATGTAACCGGAAACCGGGCCGCAGACGTCACAGGGAAGGAATATGGTCTGCAACCGGAACCCGTCCTGGCTGTAACAGGAAAGCTACTTCAGTTTCCATATATCTTAAACCCGCCCCCTCATGTGGCAATTCCGGTTCATCATAATATATCTTAAACACGCCCTCTCATTCGGCGATTCCGGTTCATCCTGTGTCTTAAGCACGTTTTTCATTTGGCGATTCTGGTTCATTAAATGTCTCAAACACGCCCCCCTGATTTGGCGTGTCCGGTTCATCATATATCTTACCCCCTTATAGGCGATCCCGGTTGATCACATTTGTTAAGCCTGCCCCCTCGTTTGGCGATTCCGGTTNNGGACCAGGACATGCGCTACACCCGAGCTCCTCTGATCGATCCCTATGTCCGGAAGAAGACAGGCAATTCCAACAAATTGCAATTTGTGCATCTTAAGCTGCGGCGCTTCCGGGACAAGAGGTAGGCAGCGAATCGAAGCCCCATCTTTCCGGCAAACGAGAGTGCAGAGTTTTTTGGTTTGAGCCTGGTCATTTCTCACACAGGAGCTTGGTTGCCCGTCGTTTCTCTTCTTTGTCTGCAGTGAAGAAGGAAGAGAGAGAGAGAGAGAGAGAGAGAGAGAGAGAGAGAGAGAGAGCGAGAGAGAGAGAGAAATCTTCTTTGGAGCATATTCTTTTCGTGTTGTTTATACTG